CCTCGGTCGCCCCACCCCCTACTCGCTCCCCATCCCCCACAGTAAGCTGCGCGGGGTAATTAAACCTCAGTGGCCTGGAAAGTTAGAGGACAACCAGCTTCCCCAGCCTCCTCCCTAGACTGGGAGACTGGCTTTAGTTACATTGTGTCTTTCCAGGTAAACAAGCGTGGGAAAAGTCACGGGTGGGAACTGAATGAGCACCTTGCTTGTATGAATGGTTTGCTTAATTAAATAATCACAAAAGTAACTGATTGCAGCAAAAAAAATTGAGAGTTAAAGTAATTAATGGTAACCAAAAGTTGAGGGTTAGATTTGTTTTCACATGCCAGTTTTCAGGCTATCTTATTAAACAGGGTATTTTCTTGAGGTACAGAATGTTGGGGAAAATGTTTATATTATTTGCTTATTTATTTTTGCAACCCATAAGCAGGGATCATGAAAAGTGGGGAATATGGATAATGGATGCCATGTTTTCTTAGGCAAAGTGTCCCATTATTTTGGACCTGTGCATTTTTTTTCTAATTAAAGTATTTTTTTTACAGTTTCATACAAATATACAATGTGTTGTGGTTATATTCACCTCCCATTACTCTTAGTGACCCACTTTCTTCCCCCTCTGGACCCCCTCACAACTTGTCTTCCAGAGGCAACACATTTGGAGAAATGGTACCCTCTTTTCCAGATCAGCCAGTAACTAGCTGCTTGGGAAGGAGTGCGGCCTCTGTGGCATCCCCTCTGCCTATGATGGAGTGTGGAGGGGCTCCATCCTGTGCGGCTGTCCATAGCTACAGTGAATTATGACCCCCTCCCATTCTAGTTTTTTTCCCTGTTGCTGTGATAAAAGCTATGACCAAAAACAACTTGGGAAGGAAATGGTGGGGTCACCCCTAGGCAGATGGTCCTGGGTGCTGTAAGAAGGTAGACTGAGGAAAGCCATGGGAGCAGACAAGTAAACAGTATTCCTCTATGGTGGTCTCATCAGACCTTGCCTGCAGGTTCCTACCCTGTTTGAGTTCCTGCCCTAACTTCACTTAGCGAAGGACCGTGCTATGGAACTGAAAGGTGAAACAAGCCATTTCCTTCCCAGCCTGCTTTTGCTCCTGGTGTTATAACACAGCCATAGAAACCCTAACTAAAACAGTGTGTGACTCCAGATTGTGTAATACTGTCACCTGTTGTTATTTTGCTTAAGATTAGAAATTACAAGTTAGAAGGGGTGGAAGGAGAAACACGAGAGCGAGCTCGGAACCAGGACCGGGGCGATAGATGGAGCACGAGCCACAGAGAGCACATTAATCATAGTTTATTATAGCGGTGGGAGAGTGAGCATGGGAGGGGAGAGAGGAGAGGTAAGAGAGCTGTAAGTAGGCGGGCGGGGTCTGTCTTTTAAAGAGGTCCTGCATGTAGACTGGTTCTCATGGAACTCTGGGCTGGCCAGAGAACTGCCTAAGAGCATTCTGCCAGGAAACAGGGCAGGCTAGCAGAATGCCTGAACCTTTCATCACCTACAATGGTGGGTCACTTCAGCTGAGCTAATATAGAAACTCTCAAATATGTCCAAAAATTTGTCTTTTAGGTGGTTATAGAGCCTGTCAGGTTGATAGACACTGTACATAGCTTCGGTCATAATAACCACAATATTCACAGGGAGCACTAGGGAGCTGGGAGATCCAGTCCTAGAACAGTTGCGCTGGGAAGCACAGCTTAAGTGTCCACACTTGCGAGCACCTGGGTTTCTGTGATGACTTCGTGGCACGTTCCCGGGGAACCCGTGGCACTACCGTAGCACCTGTGCTCGCCCTGTGCTCATCGCTCCTAAGGAGGGAGACAGGTGGACAAGAAGAAGGAGGCTGGCGATTTTGGTGGTACATGTGGCGCCTTCAGCAGATGGTGTAGATTGGTTTGTAGGTAGTTAGAACCATTTGGGTGCTTGTGGGCACGTGATAAGAGGGGTGCCTATAGGGGGTATGCCGTGAGTGGAGCTAAGTTGTCACATCCTTTCCTCCTCTTCCTCTGCCTCATCTCCCTCCTTCTCCTTCTCTCTCTTCATCTTCCTCCTCATCCTCCCTTTTAAGGAACATGGAGTAAGCATGAAGAAAACCATTTCTCAGGTGTTAGGCTGCAGGGACCCGCAGGAGGATGGGCCACATGTTCCTTAAAGTTGAGCAAGCCCCCCCCCCACCAGGTGTCTACTGTACATTCCGCCTGCCGTTCGATAGCTCCTGTTTTACTATCCAAAGGTGTCTACTTTTGTAGCGTTCTCTCCCGTTGACCCAAGAAAGTGACACATTTTTTAACTGATTCTTCCTTTGGTCTCTGCCTTTTGTCCTTTCCTTTTTGGGTCCCCGAATGGTTTCTTTGCAGTGGTGGCTGCTGTACTGGGAGGGCTGCTCATAACAGGATCCCTGGAAAGACTCCTGTGTGGAATGCGATGCTGGGACTTCAACTCTGACCCCTGCCAAGTGCCTTTGGCTCTAAGGGGACCCAGAACTGTTTTGTGGTGTCAGTAGACACCCAGATTTGAAAAGACACCAGAGTCCACACTGCTGCCTTAGAAAATAACTCTGGGCTTCTTTGGCATGTGAGGAAAACTAGTTCTGCTGCCATGACTCTCTCTTCTCTACCCTCATCTGTCAGGTTGGGCCATCATGGCCTATAATGACGCCTTTTACTCAACACAGTATTTCTAGAAGTAATACCTCTTGGAGGTTGCAGGCATCTGTGGGCCAAGGCATGAGAGTTAAGCATCCAGGAATTTGGATGGGGCAGGATGAAAGTCTCACGAGGTGTAATGCTCCATCTCAAAGCAGGTAGCAATAAAGTACACCCAGGGACCGGCCCACGGTTAGGATGACAGTCTTAAGGAAGAAGTCACACGCCTGCTATGGAGGCCTCAATAAACATGAACCTCTCGAGGAAGGAGTGGAGTTACTCTTAAAAAGTAATCAGGACTCAGAGGCTCTGACCCAGGGCTTGAGCGTGACCGCTATCCCAGTGAGATGTCTGTACTCTGTGAGGCATTTCCCTGACTCCAGGGAGGAAACATGTCAGGGAGGTGATGCTGGATCACCTGTGGTGACACACCACCATGACATGAATGTACCCAACATGACTGACTTCATATCAGACACACTGCCAAATACAGGACAGGTTTCGATCATCCCAGATGTGTGCTGAAGAAGAGGTGATGCATCCCCAATTATACATTGTGACCAGACAATAGACATGAAAACAGTCACAGAAGTTCTGTGGGTTCACTTGGGGAGTCCCTGCCCCTCTGTGTCTATTGTCTGCTTAAATGTCTTTGAGTACAGTGTCCCAGATGACCTTGAATTTCAGTGGCCAGCATAGCTTGGCATTGGGCAGGGGCAGAAGACATGCATCCCTTCTTGGTAATGCTCTACCATTGTGGGTGCCCTGAGGAGCTACTGCTCCCAGAATCCTCAAAAGTGACTACTGCCAATCCCCACTTCCTCACTCGGTACTGCGGACACCAGCTAAATATGCCCTGGGAAATAGCAGGTGTGAGCACGCATCTGGTTTCTTTTGCTTGATGTGCCACCATAGACAAGCCTGGTGTGTGCTGTGCATTATATTTCAATGCCAGTAGAGACAGGTCCCCTCTGAGAGCTGGCTCACTGTTACCAGCCCCCTCTCTACGGCGTCTCTCTAGACATTTCCTGTCATGTCCTTTTTGTGTGTGTGTTCCCTAGTCCTGTGCTAACGAGGATCTTTGAAAAATGACTGGTATGGTAATGATCTACGGAACTTACCGGAGATAGCAATTAAACATGGTTAATGGCTGGGGTACACTGACACATTAAAAGGACTGCAGACAGCGATTTATGAAGACAGCTCTGCCGCCTACTTGGTATCCGATGCATTTTTCTAGTTTCCGCTTAGGCAGGCTGGCCTCAGTTTGGAGTGATTTCCAGGCCTCTTTTAGTATCTCCAGTTGCCAGGCCACCAACAAAAGCACATTGACAAGCTTTGATGTTTCTCCCTGTGTGTCAGTGTCTCATCATCCTGAGGTAGGGTTTGTCTGCATGGGGCCCACATCCACAGTTCAATTTTCAGAAAAGAGGGGGGATATCCAAAGGGAAGTTGTTAAGAGCTGGGAAGGTAGGTGGTTCAGTGAATGATGTTCTTGTCACCTGAGCATGGAATCTGTGTTTTCATGTCGAGCCCCACATTAAATCCCAAGCTTGGTGGCTATTTTAGTTAGCTTTCTATTGCTGTGACAAAACAGCATGACCAAAAGCGCCTTGGGAAGGGAAGGGTTTATTTCAGCTTACTGGTTACAGCCCATCATGAAGGGGCATCGGGGCAGGGCCTCAAAGAAGGAATATGGAAGGAGCTCAAGCAGAGGCCGTAGTGGGGCGCCACATACTAGCTTGCTCTTGATGACTTGCTCAGACTGCTTTCTTATACAACCCAGTCCAAGGGCAGTACCACCCACGGTGGACTGAGCCCTCCTCCCACAATAATCAATAACCAAGAAAATGCCCAACAGACATGTCCATGGGCCAATCAGAAGGAGGCGATTCTTCAGCTGAGAATCCCTCTTCCCAGAAGACTCTAGCTTGTGTCAAGTTGACAGAACCTAACCAACACTGTGGCGCACATTTATAACCCTGGGCCTGGAGAGGTAGAGGCAGGAAGTCCCTGTGGCTTAATGGCCAGTCAGTCTCCTGTAGAGGTGTGCTAGCTCTGCTTTCACTGTGAGAGTTTGTTTCAACAATGAGTTGGGGAGGTTGAAGACAGAGGACATGGGTCTCTGTCGTCCACATACACAGACACGCATGTGCCTGTGTACAACCTGACACACAAGCACACACACAAATTTGTAACCCCTCCCAACATAAACAGATACAAGGAGAAATTTTCGATTGAACATCAGAGGTGAGTTTTCTAATGATAGGAGATGATTTGATGGCAATGACAGAAAGGAATCACTGGGTTTCACTATCCTAAATTTTGCCAATTTCTCTCTATAACAGATATCCAGCTTCTGTGAATGGAGCTGCCCAGCTCACCAGTGGTCAGCAGAATCCAGGATTATCATCTCCATTATCTTGCACCCTACCTCTGTGACACATGAAGAAACCAACCTAGTTTCCAGTGACACAACAGAGCTCAACGGATGCCACATTCTTCAATATCTGCAATTTGCTTAAGAGTTGGATCTGTTTTCTTTTGTAGTTCTGTATCAAGACTCTGATGACTAAATCTGAAAACAGTATTGATATGCAATTCACAAAAAAAGCTTTCTGAGCTACCATTATGAGGTCCTTTTCTCCTTTTGTGGCCAAGAATGTGTTTTCCCTTGCCGTTACGTCATGAGACCCAAGGCAGAAGTGTCCTGACAACTAGGAGATGACTCAGTCTGCTTCATTTGAAAGCTGGATCTTGACTGAGGGGAAGCAGTAGAGGTGAAGAGTCTTCCATGGTGAAGTACAAGTGCGTTTGGGCCATGTCTTTGGTTCTTGTTGGTGCCTCCTGGTTGCTGTTGGGTGAAATCTATGAAATAAACACTTTGCTCACACACAGGGTGATTGGGGGGGCATATTGATCTTTAGTGCATTGGTCCTAGGGACATCAGTGAGCTGATACAATCTACACAGGAGAACTTCTGCTTCTACTAGAACCATCATTCAATGCATGTTGGATTTAGCTCTAATGCCTCCTGTCTACAGGGAGAGTGTATTCCTGGAGGGACACAGAAGCTGAAGCAGAAAGCTCGGTTCTCCCTCAGAGTTTGGATCATTCCAAGCTACATGGAATTTTATTCAATTCCGGGAGGAGTGGCTCAAAACCTGACTGTGATTGAGTGGATTGAAGACAATTAGGATCGTATTTTATTCAACCAGGAGACATGGCAGCACAGTGGATTTCCTTCTTTGGAAATATGTCCAGTCAATTCTGGTATTGAAAGGAACGACAGAGAAGATACTTTGGACAAGCAAAAGCAGATGTGGACTTGGCTCTGTGAGCCTTGGCTGGGAGGGACCCAGCATGGTAGTGATGGTCTCTGAAAACTTCCAGACAAGCAAATGTAGATGTCCTTTGTCAGATCCCTGGGAGTGGATACTGCAGAAGTCTTCTGGTGTTTCTTATGGATAAATACTTACAAAAACTGTTTATTCCTATAATACAACCATGCCGCAACATGCTTTGTAACTTTCATTTGTTTTAGCGGTTGCATTAGTAACTTGGCTCTTGCCTGAATCCTAAGAGGTGCTTTGTTGTTGCTGTTATTGTTTTTGTTTTCTTTCTCAAACAGAGCTGAACCGGGGACAGAGGGAAGAGTGTGGCCGTTGCCTGGTTCTCCGATGCGCTTGAAAGAGGTTGGAGAGGTGACATGAGCTCTCACTCACAACATGGAAGCTTCAGAGGCCATCAGGGAATAGCAGTTCCCCCCTCCCCGCCCCCTGGCCCCAACCGTCTCACTCTGCTTCCATTCACTCAGGATGGCTAGGGTTTTCCTCCACCCATTCTCAGCAGTCAGTTATTAAGGGGGAAATGGTAACAAAACACATCTCAGCCGCCAGGCACTCTGCATTTGTGGGCGTGGATGGAGGAAACCTCAGCATAGCCATTGTTAAGAAGCCCAGCAGCTGGCAGCTCAGGCCAGCTGCACGGGCTTCATGGGGGCTGCTCCCAAGCTGCTGCTTTTCCAGCCTCATTCAAGGCCAAGTGGGACCATGTGCACGCTCGTTGTCCCGCAGGTTTGTGGGGGAAGTGGGAGGCCATTTAAAGGGCACACAGCATACCAGGTTAAACTTCAGTTTGCATGGGAATGACTTGTCTCAAGGCCAGGTTTTCCTTGGACCAGAAGTTAGTGTGTGAATGAGGAGGAAGGGGGTCGTGAGCAGTTATTTATTCCCAAGTATGTCTTTGGGAAGGGTACTCTATGGCTGGCACTGTCCCCTGCGGTTTCAGTGTGAATTAACATGCTCCAGGCACACGCACAAGCACAAACGCCCCATGTCCACCTCCCTCCTGACATGATAGATGGCAGGCTCGACCTGGGGCCCAGAAGGTCATACTGTGTTAACGAATGAATCTTGACCCGTTCTTTCACCGTAGCCTCCAGGAGCCCCAGACTGCTCCTCCTCATTTCTTTCCAACTCAACCTCCCCCACCCTAAGCAGCAGCTTCCTTTGTTAAGGATGCAGAGGGCAGCTGCTAACTCTAGGGCTGGAGGAGGAGTAGAGGAAGAAGTGGGTACAGGCATCACCAGGCCTGGTGGCAGGTTGCCAGTTAGCAGCCCCTAACAAGCTCCTGTGTTCCTTAGGTAGACTTTTTTAGGGATGCCATACATAGAGAGAGGGGTGCAGCCTGGGAATTAACTCACCCCCTCATAGATATCATATGCATAAAAACAATCTAGATGGCAAATATTCAATAGAAATCCCACATTGCATTGCTTTAAACGGGACTCTGATGCCCTGCAATGTTGCAAGGCTGCTGCAAGGAAATCGGGCTTTGTTATCCTCTGTGCTTCCCCTCCTGCAGCCCTGTCCTGCTTCTGCTCTGCTTGACTCAGCTGTAGGAGTGAATTATGCATCACTGAGGGAGAGGGACTGAGCCCGTGGAACTACGCCTTTAGCACAGGGCACCCAACAAGGCTCGTTTCTATGTCCCCTCTGCCACCAAGCAAACGCCAGGCTAAGATGGTGAATCATATGGAAATGGGGTGGGTATGCCTGTGGGATCACAGGGACGGTAGAGATCAAGCTCAGGCCACCCTTGCTCCACATAGAGCAGGGAGCTCTGTCTGGGGCCTCTCCATATGGTGGAGCAGTTTTACATTAAATGCTTTCATCTGAAATGAAGTGGGGTATACAGCTTCATTCCTGGAAGTCTCAGGAAAAGCCCTTTCTGGCTATTTTTTTCTTTTTCTTTTTTTTTTCTTTTGGAAAGGCGTCGCCTTAGCCTCCAAAGCTGTGTTGGCTCCCTGAGCCATGGTGGTATTCTCTCCACTTCAAAAACACACAGGGACATGTGGAAGTGTTCTAATTTTTTTTTCAGATCCCAAACCATATGCACCAAATTTTCACAGACTTGATCTTAATGTAGATAAAAGTGAGAACCCCCGAGGGGGACTATGCTGTAGAAATCCCTGCATTGTAGACTCTAATTTAATCATCTCTAGCCACAGAATTTCTTTGCATAAATTACAGCCTCAATGATAACATCGCTTTCACAAAAGGTGGCCTCTAATCGATTCGACTCTCCACAAGATGGCTGGGCTTTCCAAGCAGAGGAGCAATGTACAGTTCGAGAGAGCTGTGGCTTGCACCTGGGGCTTTGGAGGCCTAGCGGCTCGGGATGACTGTTTGCTTATTCAGCTGACTTTACTTTTCACCTTGACATTTGCTAACTGTTTTTTATTTTCTGGGAATAAAGGGCTATTGGCAACTGCCTCCACTTGGGCATCTGGAGGAGGGGCATCTAGGAGATTACCTCAGAGGGGAATCTGATGTTGGAAACACTTTTCAGCGTACACACCTCTCCTGCCTCCTCCTCTCTTTCCTCCCAGCCCTCGAAAAACATGATTTAAAAATAAATGCCATTTTCATGCTTTGGGGTATGCTTAAATATGATTGAGAGCAATGCAATGCCCATCGAAGCTATGCTGAGCACTTTTGGGGATCTTGTCTTTCTCCCCTAAGGCCTTAGCCACAGAAGACTCTTTCTCCAGACCACAGAGCATGTTTTGAAAGCACTACTGTTGAAGGGAAGTGCTCTGTCAGCCATCACAGTGTCTGCACTGTGATGACAGCGAGTACTCTGGTTGATCCTTTTGAAAGGACGTGTTGGGGGAGATTCTCACAGAAGTAGGTGTTCTCCATCCTTGGAGCTTTACCCCACAAAGGACTTCAGACAGAAGGAATGTAGGAACTGGATGATGTGGTGGTGTCTTGCACAAAGAAAGCCTGTCTGGGGGTCAGAGAATGGAGCTGGCCACTAGGTAACCATAGCAGTCTGTAGGTATGTACAAACAGACAGGAAGTGACATAGCTGGGCAGAAACAGGATATAAGCAGGGAGAAACAGGAAATAGCTTTCTTCTCTGCTGAGACACGTAGCAGGTAAGGTGTGCTGTGGCTTGCTCCTTCTCTCTGATCTCTCAGCATTTCCCTCTATATCTGACTCTGGCTTCTTATTATCTAGACCAGTTAAGAACTCCATTTAAAGGGTAACACACCATTCCTGTCTCTAACAGGGTTCACTCGGGACACCTTCATTCATACACTTTCCCAATTGAAGGGTGCCTTTAGTGACAAAATTCTCAAAAGTGCTTAAGTCTTACACACATATGTGCGAAAAAATTATATATATATATATATATATATATATATATATATAAATTGAAAAGCCCATTAGGTACAAGCACACAGATGGTATTTAATAAAGGCAGAAGACTTGAGTGAAAATTCTGCAAGCTGTCACAGTCCTACAAAAATACCATAATTAGGCGAAGGAATCGGTTCAGTGGGTAAGAGAGTTTGCTGACTAAGCATGACAGCCAGGGTTCAAGTATTCAAGACCCACATGGAGTCTTGGTATTGCTGCTCATTGCTATAAGGCCTTTGTGGGAGGAAAAGACGGATTGCTGGGGTACCTGGCCATCAACCCAGCTGAACAGATGTGAGCCCTGGGTTCAGTGAAAAAAAACAAAGGAAATGGGCAGAGAATGATAGAGCAGGACACCTGACATTCCCCCTCTGCCTCTTTTTATGTGAACAAGGGCTCAAGCCCCTGTATGTATGTTTCCTTGCATACACCAAACACATACAATTCTGTAGTTATAGACAATGCAAATCTCTACCCCAGTTTTTAATCCCAGTAGTATAATAACACTATCCCTGGTAACATCATCATGGAGAAACATAGATATTTATTCTTGGGGGTGAGATAGCTTGAGACAGGACACCCATGTTTTTTTATAATTATAGGTAGATTGCAGGTGCTGGCTGGGTGTGGGCTGTTAACCTACTGTCTACATGGTATCTACACAGCAACTGTCAGGAGCCAAGATACTACATGTAATGACAGAGAACTTCACATACCCTTTGGATACTAAATATTTTCATGCAAACTCTGCTTGTATATAAATAGGAAGGTGCTGGATGTGAGAGAAATAAACAACCTTGGTGGTGACTAAAATGCCAACAGCAAATGTTTCTCACTCTGCTACTCACCCTTGAGTCCCAACTATGATGTTAAGAGCTTGATGTGCTCCTGCCAACTGCTGTTTGCCCTCAAGTGTAGCTTGAAGTAGTGACCTGAGGATACTTTCCTGGGAAAACCTGTCAAGGTTCCCAACCCTACTTGGGTTGGAAGAAAATCTAGAACATTCTGGTGATGGATCTTAGCCCAACACGTTCCAGCTTTGATTGTCTATATATCACACTATATACGGTTTCCTGTTGCTCTTTACATTTGGAAAGGCAAATCTGCTGAGACAATTCCCTGGGTTTTGTCTTTTGTTCTAAATAGGTCCAGCAGTGGATACATCATCACCCCTGGCTTTGGAGGTATTTCATGATCTCTCTGCATAACTTTGATTCCATTCTTCTCAATGAGAGAACCATCACCATCATCTCTCTCTCTCCTCTGTGTGTATGTGTGTGTGCACATGCACGCACACACGTGCACGAGAGAGAGAGAGAGAGAGAGAGAGAGAGAGGGAGGGAGAGAGAGAGAGAGAGAGAGAGAGAGAGAGAGAGAGAGAGAGAGAGAGAGAGAGAGAGAGAGAGACTGTGTGGAGGCTACAGGCCGATAACAGATGTATTCTAGATAGTTTTTCAGCTAAGTTTTTGACACACAATTTCTCAATAAAGCTAGAACTCATGAACTCAACTAAGTTGTCTCAGTGAACTCCAGGGACCATCCTGTCTCTGTTCCCCTGACACTGGAGTTATAGCTGCTCTTAGTTTTTCACATGGGATACTGGGGACTGAACTCAGATCATTCGGAATGTACTACAGACATTTTACTCACTGAGCCATGTTCCAGATGTGAGATTCTTTTTTCTATAGAACAAATAGCAAAGCTTCCTTGCAGAGCTAGAGCATGGAATGCTGTTTGGCAGGAAAATCCTGCAGCACACACAGAAGCTTAAAAAACATCAGTGATTTCCTGTCCTGGGTGTGCACAGCAGCCCTTCCACGCCTGTGCTTTCACAACTGTGGATTTAATGATGGCAGATTGAAAATA